CAGCAGATCTATCTATCTATCTATCTATCTATCTATCTATCTATCTATCTATCTATCTATGTTTGAGATCTTTGAATTGTCAGTGTTGTACAAATTGAATTTTTTTCAGAGTGTAGTAATTGACTCCTGTATCTGCAGTTTCTATTACCTACAAAGGGTTTTTAGTAATATGGTATAGCCAAAAAAACTTTTAACATTGAACCATCAGGGCAAAAATAAACATTCTGCAGTTTTAAAGAAAGCTACTATTTAACATTGCTTTAGATGTCTACAGAAATTCATTTTTTCTGTAGAACAGAATAATCTATAAAACATGATTCTGTGTTTTTGATTTCTGAAAAAACATTCAATGACATCTGATGTTTGCTGCATTGCAATAATAATTATCTGCTTTTGTCATTACAAGTGCACATTCTATAGCTTAGGAGTTAAGTGTGGTCTGCCATGGATTTTTATGCAGCCCTAACCTCCTTAGCTCTCACCAATTTTCAATAGCTATCTTAAATTTAAATTAAATGAGATTAGAACTAGATTAAGTGGGAAAGAGTGGTTAGGTGGGAATCAGCTTAAGTGCTTAAAAGTGATACTTTTCTTATGCTAAAGATCTCCAAATTCTATCTTTTTAGCTCTTTCTCTAACTACAGTTGCTGATAATCAGTAGCATGATTTCCTACTATTTTAAGATGAAAATCACATTAGCAGCTTGTAAATCTGACAGATTAAGGAGGACATGTCAGAATCTGTGCTTGGGAATAGGTCAGCATTTGAAGGATTCTAACTCTTTGGAAGCTGTTTTCCATAACCCTTCTAACTCTTTTCCATAAAATTTGGGCAATTCTTTTGCTGGTCTACCCAAATAAACAAAAACAAGAAGTAAACAGCAGTTTCCAAAGCTGTCCATTATCAGAATTTACTTCCCTCCCTCTCTAGCAATATATAGATACATTTTAGTGATTGTTGTGCATGCACACATAAATTGTTCTTATGAAAGATTAGTTACTTTAACAAATAATATTAAATGTGTGGCACTTAGGCACTTGAAAAATGCTATGTTCAGACATGTTGATTCCTCATAGATCCTCTCCAGATTTACAGCTTCATATTTTGACTGTGTTTAGCAAAGTTATGAAGGCTTTGCTGACTCGGTTTTTCATCATTTGCTTGGATTGTTGATCTGAATAGCATCACTGACCTAGTTGTTATTGTAGTTTATTAATTGATTAGCCTTATGGCCATATCAAAGAAAATAAAATATAGGTAAAATACAGGATCTAATTCCAAGGTAAAATAGATTTAAAAAATACAGTAATAAAATACATATAGTATGTGATAAATACAAAGAATCAGGATTCAGATAAATACATCACCTTTACATGAAAACCCAATCTGTTTGATCTAATAGGTTCTTAACTGAACTGCCTTGTCTATAAACTTGACAGTTCTGCTCAAAATGTATATGTTAGCGCCTAGGAGAAAATAGGACAATCTGCGATTCAGGTCTCAGTGGGCTGTTCTTTCAAGTAGGGAAGTTAAATATCGAAGCCTAAAAGGTGCATAGGGTTGACAGTCAAACAAAACATGAGCTGGGGTGCTGTATATACATGTCGTCTCATGATGTGGCAGGTGATGGAAACACCCATATTTGGCCATGGAATCCAACAACTCAAATCTTGCTCTAGAATAGTCCCTTCTTAAGAATTGCATTAAATACATTGACAGATATTTTTCAAATTGGAAAATGGTTTTGTTCTTAACCAGCCAATTTAAAGATCTATTTTTTGCTAATAACTCCATGTCTGTTTGGGCACTGATATCTTGGGCTCTATGTTTAAAAATTTCCTTTGCCTGCGAGGCAGTTGAGAGTAAATATTGGGTGGAAAACCCATGCTATGAAATAACTTTGGGAAGTCAGCTTACCCAGGAGGTGGGGTGAGCCATATTTATCTATTCAGCTAAACATATTTTAGGTAGCCTATCAGGATCCATTGAATGGATCCTCTGCCAATAAGTAGACTTTAATTATTGAGTGACTGTGTATGGTGTGGATACCTGTTTCTGCTCTGACTGTGGGGGCTGACATGTTCTTATCAGTTCCCAGTACGCTTCTTAAAAAATGGGTCTGGACTTGTTCAAGTGATCTAGCTTTTGTAAGGCCCCACAATTCCACATTATAGGTCAGCATTGGGACTATTTTTGCCCTAAATACTTTCAATATGGGGATCAAAGTACCTATTATAATTAAATAGTTTATATAATCTTTTGCCTCAGCCCTTGCCAAGCTTCTTTTACCCACAACCCTTTGTTGGAAAAGTCTGCTCCTAAATAAGTGGAAGACTTATTTGCTCAATAGACTCCCCATTCAGGTGCCAGTTATATTTCACACTTTTTTTGCTAAATACCTTCACTTTAGATTGCATCACTGACCACTGAAATATCAGTTGAATTTATATTGCAAATCTGTAAAATGCAACAATGGGATGCAAACTATTTGCAATGCAGTTTTATTTATGCGAATTAAGAACAAATTCCAGTAGGTACGTTTTTATTGTATTCATATTCAGATCATAATTTTAAAAGCTTCCTAGCTGAAATACATCTTTCAGTATGCAGATTTTGCCTTCAAAATTTATATGAATATAATGGTCTAACTTTATTTAATGTTTGTGTTAGCACTATGTAAATTAGTTTTACATAGCAGTTTAAACAACTAATATTTTACTATTGTACATTTTTAGAAATAATATATTAGCAATGTTTTTAACATAATAAAAACACAAGCTAAAGAGGAAACAGTTCCAATTCTTGTTATGATTCAATTGGGAAGAGTCAATATTCTGTCGATATACTGGTGTAAATCACTGATATCCTTTCTGATCCTAATTTGATTAATTAAGAATACCTATGCAAACATAAAATGAACTTTAACCTAAAGCAGAGGTTGAAAATGAAAATAATGATGCTTATAAAATACGTTTTAAAGTTTTTAAAAAACATATTTCATTTATGATGATCCATTGATTTTTTTTTAGGCTATTGCCTTACCTCCTATAGCAAAGTGGCCATACCAGAATGGATTTACCTTTCATACTTGGTTAAGAATGGACCCTGTAAATAATATAAATGTAGACAAGGATAAGCCTTACTTATATTGGTATGTATATATGCATTTTATTTTTTCCTTACATATTTATTGTTGTTATACACCTGCTTGTAAAATTTATTTTCATTAATACATGTAAATAAATATATGTATAATAATTTTAAATTACTTGTTTCAGTTTTAGAACAAGCAAAGGGCTTGGTTACTCTGCTCATTTTGTGGGAGGCTGTTTGGTTGTGACGTCAATTAAGTCAAAAGGAAAAGGTTTCCAGCACTGTGTGAAATTTGATTTCAAGCCACAAAAGGTAAGTGTCATGGGTTTGATTTGGATGGTCCAGCCACAGGCAGACAGTCCAATAGGTATAGGTTTCATCCTGAAAGGATTTATTCCTACACAGGTAGCACTTAAATTTAAGTAACATAAAGTCTCAATCTTATTCTTATACCTCATTTAACCTACATCCAGATACCCTACTATAATCTCTTTACACAGTATTTTTTTAATCTATTGCCTCCTGTAAGAATTTGGTTTCTGTCTCTTGGAGATTCCAGATGATGACTCATAAACTTCATCTTTTATCTCAGAGTATAGATTGTTTCACTTTTGCTAGCAAGTAGCTTTTGGCTCTAGCTGACTTTACTTTATTTCAGTCCCATGATCATTCAGTTCTCTTCCTGGCTATCCCACATAATTCTCATTGAGAATTGTGACTTCTGCTTTATTTATTTGAACTGCATGCTCTAGGGTCAAGTAAAACAGTTCCTTCTCCAACATATTCCAAACTCAGCACCAACAGCCATTCAGCTACTCAGTGGTCCAACTATCAGCAACATGGCTTCTGCTTCTGTCTGAATTCTGTTTATTACTTAGCAGCTAGCAAGTAGATGAAGAACGCAGAGAGATTCCTGTTTCTTTTAGAACAGTTATGAATCTACTGTACAGGAAATAATTTATAACTTTCAGAAGTTTGGATTCTCTCCAAAACACCAGACAAGCGAAAAACCCTGATTTTTTACAATCTATTACAGTTGGACTTACATGTGAAGGAAGACTTCTCATTTTGCATACGCTTTTTTGTGTAAGCTTTCCCCCACAATATGTTTGATCTACAGTTAATAAAAGAAAATGTATGATAATAGATATTTCTGCATTTGAAAATTAATGATCATTGGCTTTAGCAATGTTAGATTGACATTTATTGTCATAATCTGCATTTAGAGACAAAAGAAAGAAAGCAATTCTAACAAATAATTTTATATATAATTTAAAAGGAACAAGTTTTTCTAAATTGAATAGAGACATATTCCTTTAAATCAAAGACTCTAGTGTTTGTCACTTTCCAGTAAATATTGTTGAACAGCATGGCATTGCTGGGTGTAATGCATACTATATTAAGGTGTCTAATAATGTAAATAACTCATTATTTAAAGAACCATTTAGAAGCTGAGTACTTTGTCCTAGCCAGAGAAGATAAAATGAGATAGAAGCAGTCACAGAATTTAAAAAGAAAAACAGAATGCCGAACAAATTCTCAGTAGCAAAATTCAGGCTTTTAACATTGTTACTTAAAGAAAAATTCTCTTAAATGTGTAACTGTATGTAAAAGAATGATACAGCAACTGTGCAACCTCTATCCTCTATTTACAGGCAGACCAATTTCCAGCAGCCAGTCTGTACCCTTTATTTTCTCTGATTTATCAAGAGGGAACAGTTTCCTTCTTACACATTTATATCATTATCTTGTTATACTGTATATTTTATAGAGAGCATTTTCATTGAAAGAAACATTCAATTTCAGCCAGATTATAAATTTTCTTCAGAAGAAATTACATCTGGTAGTAGGCTTCTTTTGATGTTTCAGTTCCATTTTTATTATCTACCAGTTAACAGTTTTAATGTCACTATTTCTGCTTTTTAAATGTACACAATTTTCAAAATATTAAAAACTCCCTATTTTTACACTTTGTATAATTCATCTACATTTCTTATATAGTGGTACATGGTTACTATTGTGCATATCTATAATCGCTGGAAGAACAGTGAGCTCAGATGTTATGTGAATGGGGAACTAGCATCATATGGAGAGATAACATGGTTTGTCAATGCCAGTGATGTAAGTAATTCACTCCTCCAGTTGTTTTAAGATACTGGTTGTATATCTTTTCTGTCTTGTGTTGCTTATGTTAAGGCTGAAAAGGAAAAATGGAAATTTACTATTCCCTTAATCTTTCTGTTAGCATTTAAACAATACTTTGAAGCAGAGATCTGGAATATTGATCTGGTTTTATTCTTTCATTTATAAATATAAATAAGCCTGTCAGAGTCTCACAGGGTTGTTGGTATGGAGAAAAATGGCAAAAAGGTGTATTATGAACATCCCTTTGAGCTGATAATAGAGAGGTGGGATGCAAATCTAACAAATAATAAATATTGTTGGGCTTCAGGGTTTATTGACCATGGACCATAGCACCTGTGGCTGGCATCTTCAGAGACAAGGTGGTCTGCTATGCCCTATTCTTCAGTAATTGCACTGGTTATCAGAGGCTTCTGAGCCCAGTTTAGAGTGCTACTTATGATGTGTAAGCCCTTTAAAGCATGTGCAAGACCACAATGTCTTAAATAATTCTGTCAGTCCTAGCAGGTATATATTCCTAGGTGGCATTTTACTCTGGGTGGAGTGGTGGTGATGATGATGATGTTCTGTTGTATGGATTATTGGAGTAGTGATGTGAGTAGTATATACTGCCCTGAAATAAATAAATCAACAATAGCAATAAATACAGAAGAAAAATCACATTAATTTTTTTTTATTCCCATTTATTTACTTAGTAGGCATATGTATCACTCGAATTGTAACTGAACCTTACCTTTTTTTATATCTTTAGTGATATTTATCGATTAAATTATAGGATGAAAGTTCTGTATCTTTTCTTTGGCCAATCTGTGACACCTGACCAATGAAAAAATAATATATTCAAAAGTCCATTCCCTGGCTAGCAGAGTTTCCCTCTTCCCTAAAAAAAAAAAAACCAAAAAAACCCCCCCTGAAATTCCAAAATATGCAAACAGCAAAAACAAAAGGAAAAAAACCCCCACAGGATTTTATCATATCCAAGTAGAATTTTTCATCTGGTTTCCCTGTGCCAAAAGTAAGTGAATCTCAGATGTACACATGGAATATAATAGAAACAGGAGGCTTTTTTCTTCATTTCATATCAGTGGGATTCTAACTTGCAGTGCTCATAAATAGCTCTTTACTAAAGAATTCTGTGTTTGTATATCAAAGATATACACATAATTGTTTGGGACTTTGGTGTATAGTCTTCACTTTAAAAAAATAATTAAACTAACATTGACCAGACTTTTTTGTTTATTTTCTTAGACATTTGACAAATGTTTCCTGGGCTCTTCAGAAACAGCAGATGCCAATCGAGTATTTTGTGGCCAGATGACAGCTGTTTATCTTTTCAGTGAAGCTCTCAATGCAGCTCAGATCTTTGCTATTTATCAACTTGGTCTGGGATACAAAGTATGTATAGTCCTACGGTGTTGTGGATTTTGGTGGAGCTGACAAAACTTTAATTTTATATGGGGTTCATTTAAAAAAGATAGTAACATCCCTGTTAAATGATGAGTAGATTTTTAAATATTCTTATTGTTTTTCCATTGACTTTGTACAGAATATGATGGCAAAATATTACTAATTTAAACTTTATTTAAACTCATAAAACCAGAGACTTGTTTCTCCCTTCTCTCTCAGCTCAGCTCCAAGGATGGATTTGCAAGTTTTACTCTTTTTTTCCAGTAGCTTAGCATTGATAAAAGAGTTGAAGCTTTATAAACCATAGCTTGATGTTGACTGTGTTCATACTTGCTATATATATTTTGTTTTAGTTATGGATTGTTGAACTAACTCTAAGTAACCATAGTTTGTTGAAATATCTACAGTAGCCTGGCTAATGCATAATGTTAGATCATAAACACAGTTTGCAAATGTATCTCACTGTCAATGCTAAAGGAACTACAGTATAGCTTACCATGATGAGTGGACCCAGCATATGTTCTGTTTTCGTAACCCACAATTAAGATTAACCATTTTTTATGCAGACAGGGTGGCAGGGTTCAAAATTCTTTATGCCTGTACTAAAGGAGGAGAGTGTTGCTCAACGTTGGTTATGGTTCATTTCTGTAATGTCAGACAGTTTAATTTTAAATGTAAACTTCTGTGCTTGTTCTGTACTGTACTTCATATATCTCTAAACATTTGAAGTACTATGACAAATACAAGAAAATTGTTTTGCTCTTCAATATTACCAAGAAATTCTATTCAAATATATTTTCTCCCACGCTTATCCTTTTTTTTACAAGTAAACAATGTCAGGATACATATATAGAATTTCTTTTTTAAAATGTTGTTCACTGTTCTTTTTACTCATTAACGAATCTCAGACATGTATTGTTGAAACTCTTGAACACCTATGTGTGAAACTTTGCACTCCAATTGCATTCTGGTTAAATATATTTTTTTAATCTTTAATTCTAGGGAACTTTTAAGTTCAAGGGAGAAAGTGATCTGTTCCTAGCTGATCATCATAAACAATTATTATATGATGGGAAACTATCTAATGCTATTGCCTTTACATACAACCCAAGGGCTACAGATGCACAGCTCTGCCTAGAATCATCACCCAAGGACAATCCTTCTATCTTCGTACATTCACCACATGCCCTCATGTTACAGGTATTTTGGTGTATCTGATTTCAGGTTCATGGGGAGATTTCTTTGAATTTTTCCCTTGGGTATATTTTGATCTTTAAGTGTGCCTTTCAAAAGATTTAGGGTTTATGGCTTGATTCTTTTTAACACATAGCCTGTTTTCAGATCTAATGTGATTGATTGGTGGTGTGCAATCATATGCTTTCAGGTCCTTGTATTTTCTTCAAAGGAACTACAATATAGCTTACCATGATTAAGTTACCATGGTAGCATGATTAAGTTACCATGGTACCACTGAAAGTTACCATGTTAATTAAGATTAACCATTTTTTATGCAGACCATGTGCTTTTAATGCCTGATAAAAGTTCTATTCCCACCATTATTTTAACTTTTTATTTTAGACTTCATGTATAGCACATGATCGTGCTCTCTCACATTTTGTATTATATTAGCAAGTCGTTATAATGTAAATAATATAAATAAAGATCCTACTGAAGCTTTTTGGGCACATTAAAGCCCAAAGGTAATCATGGAAAGAAAGATCTATATCTAATGTGTTCAAATTTGGCATTAACAGGATGTGAAAGCAGTCATAACCCATTCTATCCAAAGTGCAATGCATTCAATTGGAGGAGTGCAGGTGTTATTTCCTCTCTTTGCACAGTTGGACTATACACAATATTCCTTGGATCAACCTGACACAACTCTCTGGTAAGAATCCTTATTCTCACTTCAAATTGCCATTTCATTTCGGGTGATCGAAATTGTAGAGGAACTACCACATTCCAATAGTAAAGAATCCTTATGCCTGATCGCTTAGTGATACTCTGTAACAACTGCAACCAAACTAAGTTGGGAGATGTTTGTGTTAATAGAGTAAGCTGAAGATAAAATGCATGTTAAAAGATAGACATACACATATAGATGTAGCCGAGGTAAAGATACATGAGACTATGTTTAGCTTTTGGGGGGGGGGAATTATATCCAAGTAATGCAATTATATTGCAGCATGGAGAACATTATTTATATTTTCAAGGTTAGATCATGTTAAATCTGTTGTGCAGAGAAGACCTTGAGATGAAGTCAAGATTATTGACACTAGGTCTTCTACACAAATGTGTACATCATTCAGTAGCTTTGTAATTTATGGAGTCAGGGAGGGGGGAGATATGAAAAATTTCTCAGGGATGAATTCCTTTCTGTCAAAAGGTATACAGGGTTATTTTTTACAGAGCTGCTGGTTCTGGCCAAAGAGAGTTTATCTTCCTGACCCAGTGCTTGATCAGTGAAAAATGTCTTGTATTCACAAACTACTTTCATTTCACTATGGGATTGTCAAGAACAAAGGGTGGGTTTCTAGACAATGCTGATATTCTGCGGCAATTGCCTTAGAAATGCTTCTAGTATGTTAAATGCAATAGCTTTCTAAAGCAGTTGGTACTTCTGGTAATTGTACAGGTAACATTTAGTAAAACATATTCTAGATTAGAACACCTAATTTTTTCCCAGTAAATTCAGCAACGTAAATTATTTGGTTTGACTGCAATAACAATATAAATGTAAATTAAAGCTACCAAGTTTGATTTTAATCCAGATATTATTTTAACATATAAATGAAAATGTTATATTAGAAACAACAGACATTTCTGTTTCTGCATCATGCTGATTGTCTGTTTTTATTAATGTACTTATTTTTATAAAATAAGTAGTGCAATTGTTGGTGTCAAAGTGCAACATTTTGTTTACTGAAGTATTTTAATTAGCCAGTGCTACCTGGTTTTATACCCACTTCCTTATCTTTTTGTGCTTTTGTGGTATTATTTCTTGAGTGAATTTTGTACAATAAATGTAGTCATAACCTTCTAAATTTTTCAGCTGTAAATCTGAAGAGTTGTTTAAAAATATTTACATATACTATTTTTATAATTCCATATCTTTAATTCCATATAAACTAAGGTCCTAATACTGGAAAATAAACTATATCTCATGACGAAAAAGTGATCTATAGATCTCATTTCTAATATGTGATCTGAATATGTTCTGAATGTATTTCAGAATGTTATCTTCATATGTTCTGAATATGTTCATTTAGGCTTGCTTTGCAGTGGACAGTGTTTTTCAAACATGGCTCACCTTCAAATTCTCAGAATCCATAATTTGTCTTAATATAGATATATTACAGACTGGATTATGTACTGTAAGTTATGATATAATAGTGCAGTTTCCCACTAGTACACAAATATTTCTTCAAGGAGGAGAATGATTATATTTATACTAGTCATCACTCTTTGGGATTGCCATGATAGTGGTTATCTCACAAAGATGTAATAGGTTGTGCAACTTCAGTAATTTTATTGGAAACATAATATAGTCTGCTGAATTAAGAAGACTGAATCAGCATCCTCACAAAAATGTGCAAACTCTTACTATAAACCCTAAATATGCTAATTTTTAACACGCTGCATCAATGCAATATATTTTTCAGTTCTATTTTACTGGCTTTCATTATGGAGTTGCTGAAGAACTCAGTTGCTATGCAAGAACAAATGCTTTCTTGTAAGGGCTTCCTTGTAATAGGATACAGTCTTGAAAAGGTAAACAAAATTAAATGCTTTCTTTTTTCTCTGCATTTTTCCATATTTTGGCCATGTTCATAATTACTTAAACATCTTGAACACATTCTCTTTTCCCTTCTACAGTCTTCCAAAACACACGTTAACAGAACTGTTCTAGACCTTTGCCTTGCCTTTGCTAAATATTTGAGCAATTTGCATAATGGTGTCCCTTTGCTGAAGCAGCTGTGTGATCATATTCTCCTTAACCCTGTAATATGGATTCATACTCCAGCCAAGGTAAGATACTTTCCATTTGCGAACAGAGCATAAAAAGACTTGACATGCTAGTACTAACTAATGGCATATAAGGACTCAAGAATCTAGGTTTATCTCCCTTTTTATATGTTTAAAGATGTACAGTATTTTGAAGAAACATAATGTGAATTAATTACAAATTAGTGAAAAATGTTTCAATTGTGAACTGTTTTGAGCACAAAGCAGCTGTTTCAAGTGTTCCATGCATGAAACAAAACACATGTCTGAGTGTTTTGTTTCAAGCAATGAATAAACTCATTGAAAATCTTTACAAAACACAACTCTGAGTAATATTGAGTGTTTCAATGCTATTTTGGGCAATATAATTGGACTTTTATCTCTTGCCATTACAAAAAAATATCTCTAGGCTGGCATGGTAGCTAATATTACCTAAGGATGGATGTGGTGATCTAGGCTGGGATTCTGCAATGCTGGGGAACAGGAGGGATGGAACGGATATGTAAGAAAGCATAAAACTCATTAGGGAACCATTCTGGATCTGACTCTGCTGTTGGTGGTTGACTGAGGAAAGAACTGGCACTGTGAGGGACATGCAACTGGACTGTTGCTGTTCTTGCTGCTGCTGGATCTGGTAAATACATTTCTAACCCACCTCTCCCCAATTTCATTCAAGTCTGCTGCTTGCATTTCACACTTTATCTTTAGTTTTCCCTCATCTAGCTCCTTTAGAGTTTGCAAGGACATTTTCATGCTCTGTCCCCTAATAAGACCTGTTTGTTTATTTAGGAAAACTAATGATTTCAATTAACCCTTTTCTCTTGAGGTTTACATTTAAGGACTGTGCACTGCTCTTCCTTCTCCTATTTAAGGTTAGTTAGGTAGCAATATTCAGTTTGTCTTCTTTTTAACAAATGTTATTGCTAAAATAGTCATGATTGGGAGAGTTAGGCTACTCAAAGGAGGATTATCTGAGGGAGAGAATCAGGTTTGTTGGACAGGGAGGCAGCATAGTTACTAATAGGCCCACAATTCCTGTGGCATCATGTAGTATGTTTGGTGAGCTTAATACTAAGGAGGAGTTCTTCCCCAGTGTAAGCAGAGGTGATAACCTTTTGTTCCATCAACCTGCTAGGAACTTAAAGATTGTTGTGTTTTAACTATTGTTTTTAAATTGTGAGGTGCTACCTAACTGCTAAATTGAACTAATTTTTATTGCCATTAAAATGAACATTTTTTTTTTAAATTGCCCCTTTCATCAAGAATTTTGCCAGTTGGCTCATTGGAACCAGCCAGCATGGATTGTCCTTGCCCCCCCCCCCCCCTTTTCTTCTTTTCTCGTCTCTGGTTTTATAAAAAAAAGAAGGGGGGGGGGGGGGGGGG